CCCACCCTCCTCCGCCCGCCCCCGCCCACCATCACCCACCGCTGACCTCTGTCGACCGCCATCGGACACCGCTAATCACCTCCAGTCACCACTAACCTCCGTCGACCACCACCGTCCGTCATCAGCCACCATTGACTTCTGACGACCACCACCGACCGTCATCGATTGTCATCGACTACCGTTGATCGCTGTCGGTCTCCTTCAACCATCACTTACTAGACGTCATCAGTTGACGTTGTAAAGTGGAAAGCTAGTTACCATTTCTCGCCTGTGGGACAAGGGGCATTCGTGCAACGCTAAGACGATAATCCATTACTCTACCGCCGCGAATTTTCTAGCACGCATCAGTTTGGCGCCGTCTGTGGGAAAGTTTCAACCCCACAACTAAAGTATTTACACGGTCAACTACATGGCAACCATACACAATGTTCGTGATAATGGAGCATCCCGCTCCAACACCCATCGTTTCAGGGAGCAATCACGAAGCAAAGGGCGGCATACTTCTTTGTCTTCCCGCCCTGGAAGACGTTATCAAGCCGTTCCCCTGCCAATGAAGGTGTTTCGGGTCCTTCAATAGAAGATCGAATGCGTAGAATGGAAGAGTCTCAACTAGAGATTCTACAGCTCTTATGCAGGGCTCAACAGCCGCTGTCTACACCATTGGATGAAATTCGTTTACCATTAACTCCACGACGTACGAGAAACATGCCACTCGGAGGAACTCGTATCGGCCCGCCTCCTCAAGAAGGAACACATCTCCTGTCAGGTCGTGATGCTGAACTTCCAGATACAGCAAGTTCCACTCATCCATCTCGTGCAGCTCACCCGACATCGCCACATCTTCCTACCATTCCAAATAATGTCATTCGTAACGAACTGTGACGCCTCATCCAAGAAGAATTTCCCCTCGAGAAAAATGATCGCTTCTACGTTCATCGTAACATCCATGAATCTTCTCCCTTAACAGATGCGGTCCTCCAACAACCCACCCCAACAGGCTTTAAACTTTCGAACATCGATACATATGAAGGGATAACTGATCCTTACGAGCATATTGATCATTATCGAACCATCATGCACATTCAGTTTGCCTCTGATGCACTTCTGTGTCAAGTGTTCTCGGCTACTCTCAAAGGACAAGCTCGAACTTGGCTCTATTCTCTG